TATCACGGTTAACGACTGCTTTCGACTTTAATCGCGAAATTAATGTTTCCGCTTACACACTTACTGCGACTTCGTTCTCGTAAAAGTGCGATCTAATCGGACAAATCGTTGCGCTCGTTTGCTCCTTGATGAGTCGCCTGATTATTCATTTGCAATATTTATGAGCCAAGTGCCAACGAAAGTCGCGCAAAAATGTGTGCAGCGCGAAATTTTAATTCGGTATCTCGCAACTGCATCTCTTCCTCTCTCTCTCTCTCTCTCTCTCGCTCTTTTGGAGAACTCTACGCTTCCGAACAACGCCGTAGCAAACTTCGCCGACGATCGTAGCAAAAAGCAATCCCGTTCGTAGAAGAGAGGATAGTCGTGTCCGATCACGATGTCGACGACGACGACGATGAGAACGAGTCCGAGGAGCGTGCAAGTTACGCCGCGGTGACGTTGCATTCGAGGACAGCGTATCTCGCTCGGGCCCTCCCTTTCCTCGTACAAATTGTCCATTGTCGCTGGATCTTCGCGGACGCTAATGGGACCCTGATATCGGGTTGTCCGCATCGCGTCGAGCCGATTCCGCGAAATCCATGGTACCGTGCCGATGATCGGGCGAGGCTCGTCCCGCTCGTGCGTCGCGCACCGACACGAAGGTCGCTGCCGGTGCAACACACGGTGCAATTACACGAATCATCCGGGGCAGTCGGCCAATAAAACCGAGCGTTATCCGGCGATCTCGCGCGTACGGAGTTCCCTAACCTTTCCGTTGCCTTCGCAGGCTTCGATCGTTCGCCGTGTGCGGGGCGGATGCTCGAGTGTCGATCGCTGCGAAGAAATACCGGGATCACGCAGGTGCGTTCAGCACATTAACTGCCAAATAGCATTGCGTGCGAGAAATTTTATTTACGAGTTAGCTCGGACGTTAGATCTTTCTTGTGAAAATCCACGTTTTCTTTCTTTTCTGGATTTTGCTGAATAACGAATATAATGTATCAAGAAGCGAAGGAAATTTCCTGAAGGAGGGAGGCTTACTTCACGAGCACATCTTATTTCCGTTTATCATTAATACGTGGATCCCGCGAATGACGCAAATGAGAGGCCAGTTTTTAAGGGCGTATTTACTATTTCCGCGACGAAAGAAATAAAGACACGGCGGAGCCATTGGAGCAATCTCATTCTCATACTCATCATGAGGACGATAAGGATGAGAGTGAGGACGAAGATGAGGACAAGGAGGAGGAGGAAGGAGAGAATATGGTGAGGGGGGCGGGGATGAGAAGGAGGATGAAGGCGAGGAGGAGGTTGAGGATAAGGATCCCCATCCTCCTCTCTCTTTTCCTCACCCTCCTTCTTCCCCTCATTCTCATCCTTCACTCTTATTTTCATCCTCATCCTCATCATGAGAACGATAAGAAGCGAAAGCAACAGCGAAAGAATAGAGAGATTGAGCTATACTAATAAGCGCGCGATAGCAAAAGAGCCGGAGATAAGGCGAGCACGAAGACGACCGCGGTGTACGAGAAGGATAGCGGGAATGTCATAAAACTGGACGGTTCTAATCTGCGGAATGCGTTAATAACTAAAACGCGAGTCGGTTCATGCGCGATACACACGGCGATAAAAATGCTATCACGAGGGGAGACGCGAAAACTTGCGTAACGATCGGATGTCGATTCGAAAATGAAATCGGCGAGAGCGCGACTGAAAATTCATCGTGCGTTTCGCTCGTTTCCAGTTTCGAATGCGATCTGGGAGTGCGCAACGAGTGGTTAAGCAGCGCTGATTTTTACGGTTCAGGACGCCGCGAAACTACCGTCTAAATTGTATAAAAACATGCCTCGCGCGCGGGAGAGGATACTAATTAGTAGAGCGGTAATTATCGTTGTAATAACAGTCTTAGATCGGCAATTTATCCGGGATTCGGCGATAAGCCGGCATCGAAACGTGGGAAATGAACGTGACACGTAATGAAGATCGCCACGTGTAACAGCTAGAAAACGCTGGAAAATGTATATCCGGCCGTTTCTGTCTATTTTGAATGTTAATCGTACGATAAGCGCGTTATCACACGTGAAATTAATTAGAAGGCACTTTATAAGCTGACGGTTAGCACATGAGATAATATTTAACGCAAATTAACGCAGCGGTGCGCTGTTTAAACTCATTGCTCCGACAAACGTGATACCCCGAGACGAGATTTTAATTTTACATTACATTAAGTCTACTTGGTCCTATATTAATTCTTCATTAAGTCTTCTATCGTGTTCCATTGACACCATAAATGGAAGATTATTATGAAGGCTTAATAATGTAGAACTTAAAATTTCTCCCCAGAAGGTTCTCTTCATAGCATCAAAGAAATACTAAAAGTGCTCTTTGATTTTACAAATGGGAACTTATTTCTGTTTCCTCAACTTAAAGGTTTAATGTAAGAAGTAATATAAGACTTTCGAAAGATTCTAAAATTTTGTAAAATTTCGACTCGGGACCACAGACAATTACAGAATTTTTTAACGGGATTAATATCAAGAGAATCTCGCTGAAATGCGCTGAAAGTTAAAAACGTGCCGCGAACCGCTCGACGAAATACCAGACACAGCGAAAAAGCGTCGCGCTATTTCCTAGAAACAAATGACTAGTAAATTTCACGGAAGAGACCCCTCTATAGAGCGCGAACAGTATCGGAAGACGTCACGCTTCTCTGGCGTTGAACTCTCCGGATCGAGAGCTACTTCGTCGCCGTGGCGGCGCAGCTGGCGTTGAAATCCCCGCGGCACAGGCGCGGATTCGAGTGCGCTTTCCCAAGTTGAAATTTCAGTCCTTTAAGTCTAATTTAATTCTACGTTAAATGTTCAAAGTCTTTTATTCTGCTTCTTTGATGTTGCAAATGGGAAAGTTATTGCCGTTTTCTCCATTTGAAGACTTAATGCAGAACTAAAATCGTGAATAATATAGAGGAACTCTCGAGGACTGAATTTCCTTATTATGCTTCTTTGATGCTACAGTGAGAACTCATTTCCATTTTATCTACTTGAAGACTTAATATACAATTTAAAATTTCAGCTCGGTTTCCAGCGCTCATCAGCGCTTCACGACGAGAAGAAATCTACCCGCGCGCGCGTCCGTCAATCACGAACTTGAATTTTCGAAAGCTTCGCAGCGTAGCGCTTTGCGCCGAGCGATCGGAGATGAGATACGATCTCATTCCCTCTCTTTGTGTGCCTCGCATTCCTATTCGACAAAAAAACGCAACGCAATCCGGATTCCGAGGCGAGCAGGTGCCTAATTTCGGTGATTCCGCATTCGTAAATCAGGAGAGGTCGACGTACCGGCGCGCGGATGACTAACGGACATACCAGCATGAGCATTCGGGACACGTAGATCGAGTACACGAAAATTCGACGCTTATCTTGGCGACGACACACGGCGTTCCCGTCGAAAGCAGAACCTCGTGCGCGCGCAAGCACGCCTCCTTTACCATTCCGTATAGCTTAATTAGGTTGTAGACGGTGTCGAAAAAATGATCGACAGACGTTACATAAATTATAGGCACAGCTCGGCGCTGTGAACGACCGTGTGTTGCGGCATCGAAGTCTCTGTTACGGGCGTCCATTTTCTCGCGTTCAACTAAGAATAATCTCTTCGACCTTGAAGGGGCTATTTCGTGCGCGGCGTTGAGTTCTCTCTCTCTCTTTCTGTCTCCTTCTTCCTTTTCCTCTCCTTTTCTCATTCGTTACGCGAATGCAAGGTTAATTCACGAGGCAAATCAACGTCGCGAACGAGACCGAGAATCGAATCGCACGCCGCTTAAAAGAGAAATGAGTTTCGTTTTCGCGCCCTCGGTGCCGCAGCCGGTGCGGTGTGGTGGTGCGTACGCACACACGTGCACTCGTCTCGCGTTTTAAAGAAACCGTACCTTTCGCGGCCATTAGCGCGCAACAATAACCCTTTGAAGCGCCGTGGCTACGACGAACGACTATTTCATACGCTTATGTAAAATACTCGGCCGAGAGAATCGTCGTTGCACGTTCCTCCCGCGAAATATAAATAGTGTACGGCTGAAAGAAGAAGAAGAAGATGATGATGATGATGAAGAAGATGATAATGATGATGATGATGATGATAAAGAAATTCGAACGCATCGCGTTTTATCTCACGTTGGAACAGTTATGTACCGTACCGAGGCGTGGGTGGGTGTCCTCCGAGAGGTGAGAGTTCCACCTCGCGGCGGAGGTGCGCGGAGATTAATCACCTCATCCTTGAGAGACACAAGACCTTCTCTCTCCTTCCCCGAGCGTAGCTCGTGCGCTTTTGTAACGACCGCGTGCTTATTACCGCGCGATTGCTCAACAGCTACGGCCCTGACTTTGAACCGAGAGCTCTTTCTCTCTCTCTCTTTCTCTCTCCCTTAGCGTGGGAATGGCGGCCACGAGAGAAGCGCCAGCGATCGGCGAGGAAACTTTTTATTTCGAGCGCGCGATTCGCGTCCTCGTCGTCGCTCCGAGGCGCGCGAGTCCTCCGACCCCGAGATCTGTCTCGAGATGGAGGAAGAGAGAAAGAAGAGAGAGAGAGAGAGAGAGAGAGAGAGAAAGAGGGGAAAAATAACGTACTCTCTTTCCCTGGCGGAAGTTGCAACGCACTTCCGTTCTTTTGCGGAACCACTGCACTCGAGATATCCTCGCCGCGGGCGACGAGATCCCCAGGTTCCCGAGAACCCGGAGGTTCTCTCGCCGCCGAGGCACCGCCGAGGAGGAACTCCGCTCCGCGAGTTCGCGGACGTCCGCTCAAGTGCCGCGGATAGTCGCTACACTTCTCTACGAGCGGGATCGTTAAGCGATCCTCCTTCATCCGCGAGCCTTCTCAGCCGACCGACCCGTCTGGTCATTGACACTTTTTACCACGCCGAGTGCCTCATCGACCGTGCCCCGCTCGTCTACTGCTTACTCGCTTCCGTACATACGCGACACTTCGCGCACCAGACTTATTTTAGCACCAGGAGAGGTCGCACGTACCTTGAGCACCTGCTATCCACTGAGATACCGCGATCTCGAGATTCACCCCCGGTCTCTGTAATCACTCGATAGCTCCGATCTCACTGGGTACCGATTAGTCCGTCTTATTTGTTCCCGAAGCACCTCGAGCCTCCGAGGAGAGTCCCTTGTCTCGCGGACGAGTGGACGACGTGCGTGACGATGATGGGAGAGAAAGAGGGAGAGACCGATCGATCTCTCGGACGGGATTTCGACACCGGGTCGCCGATATCACACGCGCGACCGTGAACACTGTCCCGTTCGGCCTTGACGGTAAGGAGAGAAAAAAAGACGCTCCTGTTGGCTGGACTGTCGGCACGGCTCTGTCTTCCAGGCAGCGCATCCGCCTGACTTTATAAACCGGCCGAGTCGAGTGGTGGTCGCGGCTGCTCGCCGCATATAACCGGGGAGCGATTGGAGAACGCCGCTTAAAGGCGGCCGACGATTGGCGCACGGATCTAGCGGTACCGCGGCTCCATCCTGGGGGATCGACTGCCTCCGCGGAGCCGCGGTGTTTCCATGCGTCTCTCTCCTTCTCTCGCTTCCTCTCCTTCTATCCCTTTCTCGCTCCTTCCCTCGCTCGCCTCCTACAGCCGGCTAGTTACTCGACGTAATTAGGGAACAGTGACATTTTACCGTTTTTCCCCTCTCTCTCTCTCTCTCTCTCTCTCTCTGAGACTCGAGCCTCCGATCTGTTCTCGTCGATCGCCCTATCGGTTATTGCATTATCGTTCAAGAGAGAAAGAGAGAAAGGCGTTTATTGATTATTCTAAGACAAGCTCTCTTACAAATACTTACATGTTTGGCAATTGGCGAAGTGCAGATGGAAAGAAATATAAAACTAAAAAAAAAAAAGAAATTTCTCTTAAGTCAAATCAATGAAAATGTCGCTGGTCTGATGAGTATTCTACCGATAATCAGTAAATATTCACTAATTTTTTTGTGAAAAATCTTCCACTTAACTCTTTTGTCAAGTCGCTTCACTGATTTTAGCCAGCGAAAGATTCACTACAAATCTCTGTTAGCGTCCTGTAACAGAAATATATGCATATATATCGTACACGCATTCAACCATATGTCGTATTTGACGTAGTTCGTACAGTAACAGACTCAGAGCTAGCTAGTTTCGAGTTCGAGTCTCGTCAGATCAAGTGTGTTTTTCAAATACGATATAAGTTAAATCGATTAAACCCAATTGAGAAAATTCAGTCAAGCTCATCGACAGTGCCTTAAGAACGGGATTAAGATAATAAAAAGGAAGTAATAAATAGTATCTTTTTCCACTGTCTCTGTAGTTAGATTTCTCCGATGGAAACAGCTGCTATTAACAGGCTTTTGCAAAAATTTCACTGATTTGCTATACTTATAATTACGGCCGGTATTTATAGTCTGATCTTGTATTTAAGATCATTATAAATTCATCTTCAGGTGCTTTGCAACCAATGAATCGTACAGTATCTGAAGATGAACTTAAGACAGTCTTAAATATAAGATCCGACTGTGAATAACGACCTATGATCACTAGTGACTATTGACTGCTTCTCGGTGATAATACGCTGATTGCACTTTAGAGAGTACAAAAGGGAAAGAAGAAAAAAGAATAATGAAAGAGAGAGAGAGATCTTACCGCGACGCTGCAGGCTCAGGGATACACAGTGCAAATCGAACAGAACGACGGCGCGAAGTGTAACGCCTAACGAGGAGAAATCGACTTTGAATTGTGATACGCCTCCGCAAATAATGCTCTTGATATTCTCGCGCATAACTGTAGCGGACAATTCTATAGAAACGACCGTAGAAATGGAAATAATAATAATAGGGGAAAGTACTCGCGAGAGAGGATATATCGTTCGGCGGATTCCAGAGGATGCGTGCGCGCGTGTTTTCGATTTTTCTCTTTTTCACTCGCCTCTTATTAGGTAGTCGGGATGGAGGTCGCGCGCGCGCTTGTGAAATTCCCCGGATGGCTGGCGTACACGCGACGCGCCGGCCGATTTTTGGAGAACGCAGAGGCGACGGATACCGATCGGCCTTTCGGCACTTAGCGCATACATTACATTACAATTATGTTAATACATTCAACGTTGGCTAACGAGCGATGTTTAACGCGAGGAGCGGTCATTACGCGTGCCGTGCATTACTCCCGTGCGCGAGGACGGCGAGGATGCGTACAAACAGACGGAACGATTCGTGGATTAAAATAAACCGAACTCGAAATAAACGCAAAACGTGTCGAACGGGCGAACCGACGGTGCCGCGGACGTATAATTTTCAGGCGAGCTGAAGCGCCGTTCGCGCGGCTTCACGATCGCCGGCGAGTCCGATGATTTTTGCGAGACGTCGCGAGATCGGGAGACCTCGACTTCGACGGCCTCTATGCAGCACCGTAAACGTAATGGCGGTCGCGACGTAACAGCCGTCGGTCCGTGAAACTGTTATCCACGAACTTGAGCGGCGCGAGGGAGTCGATAGGATCTCTGCGCCGGCGATGGAATGCCAGCGGTAGACCGAAATCACTATCCTCTCTCTCCGATCCACCGACAGAGAGACAAAGAGTGAGAGAGAGAGAGAGAGAGAGATCCCCTCGCGATTTTCGCCAAGTCCGCCGGAATGGACTTTGTCAAACCACATGCTACGAGACACCGTACCGGCGAGCCCGTACAAGCAGTTGCGGGGAGACGTGAGCCTTGAAAAGTATTATCCGCATGCTTATCGCGAGATTCCGCCGAGGAATCGCCGTCCCTTCCGCGCAAGCGGTCTGAGAACTTGTTCCCGCCAAACGTGCTTTTCTGATTTTTAAGCTGACAATAACAAACCGTGTAGAAATATCTTCAAATTTTCCCCACGTATAGTATAGATTTCGATCACATTGAGAAAAAAATACTTAACAATTTATTTTGTGAAGATATAAAATTCATATTTCACGGAGATAAACCTTGTTTCTCTGCGAAATAAGTCTTATTTCTGTAGAAGAAATCTGATATCTTTATGCTTTTTTCCCCACTTAGAATCGCATATTCCAAATTTGAAGCGTCACACACTTCCAACCGAGAACCCGCGTAGATTTCTCGACTGGAATCCATCATTATTTTGTCAAGTCGGATCGGACTCCCATTAAATCCCAAAAAATTTTTCACACACGGGAACGTTACACGTGACACATTCATGTGAGGAAAACGGAATTTCCGAGGAATCGAAAGGACTTACTCGGCGCTACCAGACTAGACCCATGCGTTATCCGGCGCGCTCGTGTGCACGTGTGCTCGGGAGACGCGGTTCTTATTTACACAGACGTAAGGCACATCTTGAAAACGCGTCTCAAGCTGCGATTCTAAGCGCGGGGCTGTTCACGGCGGATGTCGTAATTTATTTTTAGAACGGGGGACCTCGTCTCATCTCGTCTCTCGCGTCAATCCGCGTCAGATCGGTCGACTCGGTCCTTCGTTAGCAGGTTGTCTCGCTTACACCATCGGCCCGATTAATAGCAGGACGATTTGAATTTACGAGCCGAGCGCTGAGAAGCGTATCTGGTTCACCGGAACGCGCCGGCCGACGTCGTCCGATCGTTAGGTATACGAACCGATCGTTAAGCGAGGGTATTTATATCGCTGCACGACCGCAACAACTGCGAACATTATGAGCCGTATCAATGACAAGGGATCGACTTTTACGAAGCCGGGGAAAAAAGAGAGGAGAGAGAGAGAGAGAGAGAGAGAGCATCACTTCCGTCGCGATATCGGACGGTACGATCGTATGATCTCGCCGATAGAGGCGGTCGATTTCAAGCTCGGGAATAACTGTAAAGACTGGTGGGTACCGATCGAGGGACGCTTTGTGGGCTAACGCAATCGCAAAATTATGCCGCCACGTGCGGTTACGTCGATACACCGCGATTAAGATTAAACCCGAAGGAGGAAATTCAATTAAGATAGGGAAGGCTCGTTAGCTTCCCGCGACGACGACGACGACGATCTCAGAGAGACCCAGGTAAATGCTCATGAGCTTCGAGATCGCTCCGTAATAAAACCCGCAGAGGCCGCCGCCACCGTTACACTTTAACGCGAGTGCAACGTATATCACATTTCTATACGGATATGTGTATGTGTGTGTGCACATATCGGCATCTCGGATGCCTCTCATCGACGATACCGGGGTGTAATTGATCTAACGATTAAGTTGTATCGCGAGGGGAGACCGTGAGCGTGCAGGGCGTCGCGAGAGGGAATACACAGGTGACTACGTGCATTGCGGAGCGGCCTCGCGCTTTGAGGACGTTATTAGAGGCTGCTGGAGCAAGGAAATCCTGCGAACAATGTCGCAGACTCGTTACCCCGTTGCCCAGAGTTTTTCTTCTTCCAGGAAAGACCCGCGAAACAAATTGAGGATCCCCTCCCGTGGGATTTAATGTCAGTCGTTACGCACACGCGAACATTGTTACCCGGCTCGCACGGGAGGGAATTGTCGAAGGAAAACTGAGGGAAGAACCTCGGCGCGAGTTCACCCACGTTTCCTCACGGGAGGTCGCGCTCGCCGGAGTATCTCGCTCTAATTGCTCAAGCGGGACACGAGGCTAATGATACGGATTAAGGAGGAATCGTGGAACGCACGGTGCGCCACTTTCCTCTTTTGTCTCCCGCTCTCCTTTCTTCCTTTTCTTTTTTTCGTTGGCGTTGTTACGAAATAGATGGATATTCGGTTCACTTTTGTCCGCGTCACGAGGACGCGACGCCTCGCGATCGCCGCCGCCGGCGGAGGACAACGACGACGATTCTTCGCCGCGCCGTGGAAGCGATGATGAAGCTCCCTACGCGGATCCGCGTGAAGTTGGCCATCCATAAGAAGCAACGTAAACACGCTATCGCGGCAAAAAGAAGCGACTGGCACTTTCGTCGGGAACAAATCGGGTTACGGCGATGATGAAGAGCATACTCGAGTCGCGATTCGTAACCGAGGGTTAGCGCTGACCTTGGATGGCTACCGTCGTTGATTATTCAACGACGCGATCTCTCTCTCTCTCTCTCTCTCTCGTTCTCTTCCTTTCTCTCTATCTCTTTCTCCGTCC